TTTGTGTCTAAGTGTTTTGCATGTTTGTAAGTGTACCACATTCATGCAATGCCCATGGAGGCCAGAAGAGGGCACTGGAGCCCCTGGAACTGAAGTTACAGGTTGTTAGCTGCCATGTGGGTGCTGGAATTCGAACCCAGGTCTTCTGCAAGAACAGTCAATATTCTTTAATCACTAGGCCATCTCTCCAGCCCTGGTCTCATGTACTTCTAATCAAATTTTATTATTTATATATGCAAAGTTTATAACATTCCATTGTACAAAAAAGTTATAAAAAAGGTGGCGTTTTTAACTAGCAATGTACCAATGGCACACTTAAGGCAGACTCTGGACACTGTACTTCTAACTTAACAGAATATCTCACTACCTTTCAACCTCTTCTATCCCAGATCCTCACCCATCTTAACCTTGTGGAACAGAAGTGAACAGGGTCATAATCACACTAGCAAACACTAATCATAATTGGTAGAACTCAAATATAAGATACAATCCTTTTAATCTTTTTAAAAGAATATTTATTTTTATTTTTTTATGTATATGCGTGTATTGCCTGCATGTAGGTAAGTGAACCTGTGTCATGCAATGCCCACGGAGGACAGAAGACGCTGTCGGATCCCCTGGAACTGGAGTTACGGACTGTTGTTAGCTGCCATGTGGGTGCTGGGATTCGAACCTGGGTCTTCTGTAAGAATAACCACTGTTCTTAACTGCTGACCCATCTCTCCAGCCCCATTTTTTTTTTTTAAACCTTTTTGAGACAAGGCCCCCTGTAGTCCCAGCAGGCCTGGAACTCACTACGTAGACCAGGCTGGCCTCAATCTCACAGAGATCCACTAGCCTCTGCCTCCTGAGTGCAGGGGTTAAGAGTGTGTACCATCATGCCTGGGACAGTTTTTAAGGTTTTTTTTGACAGAATCTCACTATGTAGCACTGGTTGGCCTAGAACTTGCTAGGCAGACCAGAGTGGACTGAAATTCAAGAGATCCATCTGCTTTTGCCTCCCCAGTGCTGGAATTAGAGGTACGTGCTATGATGTGACTCACTTTTTAAAAAAAAAAAAAAATCAAAAATCAAGCAGGTTTTGTATTTTAATCTCTAAATTCCTTTCAAATGTTGGATACTGGCATTCCTGGGATAAACTTACCATAAACGAGTGTCATGACTCATGTCAAGACCAGTGGAGCCAGGTATGCCCAGTACTGCCGCACGTATTTCACATGCTTGAGGCCCTGGATTCAATCCCCAGCTCCAAAACAAATGAACAAAGCCCAAAGCCTCAAAACAATAAACATCTACTTACATCACATATCATTTCTCAATTCACAAATTTTGTAAGTATAGTGCTCAGTTCACAGCAGAGAAAGGAGGGAGAGGGATTAAAGACAAATGTTAGAGGGGAGTGTGGGTGCAGATTGATACAGGACCTTGTAGGACCTGATAGGATACAGATTCTACTCTGCCTGTGATACAAAGAGGGTTTGGAGGGAGAAAGTAACATTACCTGACAGATTTTAAAAGAAGGATTACTCCGATTGCTCTGGGGAGAATAATCTGTATAAAGAAACAAGGTTATCTACCAGAGAGTACACCAAAAAGAAGGGGAACTCACATTCACTGAAAGACACAGAACTTTTAATAGCAACTTTATTCATAATGATCACAAAGTGGAAACAATCCAAATATTCATCAACATTGAACGGATAAAGTGTGGTATAATAATACAACGAATGCACTACGACACAGAAGTGAAAAATGAACTGTTACAACCTACAACATTGATTACTACAGCAGACATAGAGAACAAAAGATACAAAAAAGTATATATAAGAATCTTACTTCATATAGTTTTAAAACAGGCAAAACTAATTGATTGCAATACAGGTCAGACCAGCAATTATCTCTCTTGTATAAGAGGAGGAAGGGCACCTACTGGAGTAACAGAAATATTTTCTACCTTAATCCGGGTGGTGCATTCACAGGTGAATAGAAAAACACACCGAGGTGTACATTTAATATTTGTAAACTTTTATTTCAACAAAAAAGCAAAAACATATTTGAAATGACATAGAGTGATATAACCACGACAGTCAGTAGTGCTTATTTTCCAAATGTGTCTTGTTCTCCTCCCCATTGTATGGAGAGATTATACTTCTCTTGACTTTGGTGTGGCTGTGGGCTTTTTTGTTTGTTTCTCAAAGTAAGCAGCCACAGTCCTAATGGAGTATCTACTTTGTCCTGAGCCCCAGAGTAAAGATGATTTATATCAAGGATTAATGAATTTGTAAAGGGCCAAAAATTAAGTATTTTAGCCTTTGTTGGACATATACTGTGTCAGAACTACTCAACTCTGCCACTGTAGAGCAAAGCAGCCACAGACAACTCATAAATGGACAAGGCTGTACTCCACTAAGACTTCACTGACAGAAACATGAACCAGGACAGACTTGGCTTGTGAGCTGTAGTTTGCCAGCCCCTTACCTAAAGCAAAGTCGTCAGACGATTTTCAAGATGAGTAGTTGAGATAGTAAAACTTTGTAGTTGTTTACCTCATGGTAATGTAGCCCATCCTGATGCAGAGATTGGTTCTTCTCCTTACAGAAGAACTAAAATACCAAGCACACAGGCTTAGTGATCAGCTGGCAAGCATTCAAGAAAACTGCTACTGGGAGATAGAAGAAATAATTACACAGGGGCAACTCATCTTACGGACAGGTCAAACAGTCCCTTGAGATGAACTGGGAGACATTAAAGAAGAAAGAAATTATGTGGTGGCTGTTGACTGCATGTGACAAAGTGTACAGGAGATTAACTCAGAATTTTGCCAGTTTTAAGGCAGAAATCAAAACTGGAGAATTCAGTCAAGTACTTAGTGGGTAGGGTAAGGAATCCCAAGAAGATAATAAGCATGAGAAACTTTAAACCCCAAAGCTGATAAAATAAAAAGCCTAGTTTTGCAACAAGGATCTATCAAGACCTCAGAGTGAATTAGACTGTAAGTCCAACTAAGAGACGGATACTAGTTAATTTCTTAAATTGGGCAACGTGACTTTTAAGGAAAGAGACCAAGGATCTGCCTTTCCTACTTAAGACAGAAAAGCCCGAGTTACCCAGAAATTAAGTTCACAGAGGCATGGGAACAAGAAAGCAAAGAAATACAGCAAATCTAAAAGTACAAGTTAGTTGGATGTCATCTGGGGTTTGCACTTTGAGATGATATAGGCATTCCGTAGGTAAGAAAATAAGGGCTGACTGAGTCATTGTTCCAGTACTTGGTAAATTTACTTACTTTTAAATTCCAGAAGAGTCAGAAATCATCTGTAAAGGAAATAACTACTAAATAGCATGGCATTTTCTCTTAGGGTTGATGCCTACAAAAGGAAAAATGCATGTTAACTCTTATGTCACATTGTCTTTCTCCAGTACTGAAGGTAACTTTAAAATTACTTTAAATTAGTTCATTCTAAGCAGTTATCTAATCTTTTCCCTCTGTATATAGGTTTTTGGAAACCTGCTTTTAGAAATTAAAAAAAATTAAGACTCTATATCATGGATGCACTTAATATTATAGAGTGGATTTATGTGAGTACACCTAGGTTTGAATCCTGACATGACTACTAATTAGATTTACGAGGGTAAAAATTACAATGTTTGTTTTCCTAACAACATTCACATATTTGAACCACATGCTAAGCACTGCACTAAATTCAAGAAACACAACAATGAGGTCCCTAGTCACAAATAAGGTAAGTTTCATTTCTTAATTTGCAATTTATGGCTACAACTATTCAGTAAACAGGCAAGATGGACTGTGAAGGTCAAATGAGACTGTGAAAGTTTCAAAGATCGTACAACACCACACGAGTATTTATTTGCCAGAGCATTTATTCAAATGCTAGGCACTGTGCTAAGCATTAGATAAAATCACGAGTCACATTTATGTTCCAGTCTAGCAAAGACCAATAAGCAGTAACAAATGGTAAGGGTACAGCTAGAGCAGGATGGGGTGTTGTTCAGCGAGTGTACAGTCGGGGTACCTGGCCTAGAGGGCATCACTGAGGCTTCCAAGATGAAGTAGCATTTAGACCAAGACCTGCAAGATGAACAGAAGTTTTATTTCATTCTGAGAGCAACAGTGAAAGCAGTGGGGCAATGCGATTGGGTTGAGTCACATTTTGACTTGGGCCGGGACAAGTGAATGGTTGGCAACTACAGTGCCACCTCCTGAAGAAAAGGAAAATGAGAACAGCAAGTTTGGGGGAAAGAGGAAAGTGAGCCGTGAGGCCTGTGAGAGAGCAAGGTGCTGGCAATGCTGGCAATCAGAGTTAAGGGAAAATCTCCAAAGGAGGTAAGAATTTGGGAACGTTTGCAAACAGGTGGTAACTGAACTCACAGAAAGAGATGAGATCATCTATGGAGGTAATGCAAGGGAAATAAGGCAAGAGCGATCAGGCAGCTTAAAAAAAAAGAAAAGACAGCAAAACAAACTACAAACATACTTAAGGGAAAAGGTGCCTGCAAAGAAGACTGAGAAAACCTACCTGGAGCTGGTGTCACTCAAAGCTAGGGTAATCTAGTGTTTCAAGGCGGTGAGAATATGACAGACACTTAACTCGAGGACTCTGAGTGGCAATACGGGAGACTGGGCAAGCAAGCATTTGAACTACTGGGAATGAGAAAAATGGAGATGTGACTGTGAAGGACACAGAGGGTCTTTTTTTGTTGTTGTTGTTGTTTTTTTTGTGTGTTTTGTTTTTTTTTAAATGGCACTTATTTTAACTGTATTCACCGATACCACAGGACTAGTAACAACTATGTATTTAAAAAAAAAAAAAAAAAAAAGACTGCCATGCAGCTCTGAGAATGTGTGGAAACAGGGACCCTTATAAGGTATTAATAGGAATGGAAACTTGTACAGCCACCGTGGAAGTCAGAATGGAGGCTTTAGAAAAAAACAAAACAGGGCTGGAAAAAAACACAAAAAAAAGAAAAAAATAATAATTAAAAAAAAAAAAAAAAAAAAGACTGCCATGCAGCTACTGTTAGTACAGAAAACAGTAAAACACATTAAAAAAAAAATGAGACTAGTTACAGCAAGCTTTCTATTGCTGAGGGTCAATTTTTAAAAAAAATCCTTGGCTTATTTATATCTCCCCACACTCACTTAGTGGCTACATGATGCAAACTAATTTTATTATCACCTTAAGCAAAACAAAAAAAAAAGACTGCCATGCAGCTACTGTTAGTACAGAAAACAGTAAAACACATTAAAAAAAAAATGAGACTAGTTACAGCAAGCTTTCTATTGCTGAGGGTCAATTTTTAAAAAAAATCCTTGGCTTATTTATATCTCCCCACACTCACTTAGTGGCTACATGATGCAAACTAATTTTATTATCACCTTAAGCAAAACACGAGAACTTGATAAAATGTACAAGATACTAATATTTAGGGAACTGGGACTAGAAGGCAGCAGCAGCTTTCCGTTTTCTAATCTTTCTCTCAAGTAATAAAAGCATTTGCTGTGAAAGCCATACACAAAGCTCCAGGGAAATTACCAGCAGATTATTTTTGTTTGTTTTTCACTATCCTTTTTCCAGATACTTAAGCTTATTCTCTGACAATCAAAATGTCAATCTGTTATCTTGTCAATATATAACACCTGCTTTTCTTCTCAGAAATGCTGGAATTAGGCTTCCCTATCAAATATACCATCAGCTTCTACTGGTAATTTTCCCTGTCCCTTATCTTGAAATAAGATAATGTATATAGGGGGGAGGGATTTGCTGGCACTTTGGGAGGGATAATTCCTCAAGGAGCCAGCTGTCCTGTGCACAGTAGGAGGGAAAAGTCTCAGGCTTAGATGCCAGCAGAACCCTCCAGAAAATGTGATAACCACAAAGGTGCCCCTACACATTTCCCAGCAGCCTCTGGAAGGAAGGGTTGCTACCTTTGGTTAAGAACTACTGACCCACCTTGGTTCTTAGGCTCGTGTGGCATCTATTTAGATTGCTTAGGCATCAGTTCCTTCTAAATTCTTGGCTGTAATCTGGTTCCTTGAATTTACAACAGAATAAAGTGCTACAATACTTAAGACAGAACTTAATAGCACAACGGTTTTCAAACTATACTTGAGGATGAAGTTACAAGTCGGGTGCTGCTTTTAAATCAGTTTTACATGTTGAGCTTTACCATAAGATTTTTCAGTTATGTCTGATAGTAAGTGGTACAGCACAAAACCAATGTGTCATTTGAAATAAAGAATTACTACAGCCTGTGAATTAAGGCTGCTTCTTGAGATATAAATGTTTCTATTTATGCACTGTCTTAATGTGGACAGATCTAAATTCTGGAGTAGATCCATTTTCAGCAGCTAATGAAACCCAACATTATCAATTCAAAATAAAGTGTTTCTCTTGAGCAGAGTTTGTTTATAAAACATTAATACCCATGCAGCTAAGACAAATAAGCTAAAACTTCTCACAACTCCTGATCCTGAAGTCTTATTTCCTCATGTTTTGATAGGGCCAAAGTTCTGTCTAGAGTAAAAATAAAGAATTACTAACTGGCAATGGTTCAGATTCTATACTTACCATGGTCCTTTGATAGACAAGCTGAAAATAGCCCCTAGTTGTGATAAATTCAGGGGAAACCACCCAAAATTGGTTATTTTTAATTCCAAATTGTGAGAAGCCTCTTAAATCAGTAACTTAAAATCATTCTTGCTTCTCCAACTACAATTCTGATCACTCCCTCCAACTGTAATATCACTGTTACTAGGAAGGGTGGGAGGGGAAGGGCAGGAGGAGGAAATTTGCCAAGATTTACTTCAGACTCAAAAAGATGTTTTAAAAAAAATAGTCTTAAACATTTTTAGCTAGACAAAATACCTCCACTGAGCATATACGCTGTTCCTTTTCAGACACTTAATAAACTTGGCATGTGAGTTTCTGTAAATTGACTCAAGTACACTTTTAAGGAATTGGTAATTTAAAATTATCACAATTTTTACACTTTGTTAAAATAAAAGATAATATTTTTGGTATATATCTTCAGAACATCTTAAAACCAGACTTCTAATTCAACTCACATTATTAATACTAAACTTGCTGAAATCAGTTATACCATAAAAGCAAAAGGCAATGACTTTTTCCATTAAACTACGTTTTTAAAAAGGTGGTATTCTTAGGTCTCAGTCCCATGTTGCCAAATGAGATGGGAAAAAGGCAACTGTCAGAAAGATTTGAACTGTTACTGATCTGGACATCTTGTAAAAAGCTCAATGCTTTCCAACAATCCAAAATTCGTAAACGTGAAGGAAATCAGACCGATTTTTGCACTTGAAACTGAATTCTTGTTTCAATGTTGCACTATAAAAGCTTAAGAGTCATTTCTTTCTCTCACAAGATCATCCCAACGAGGATCCATTTCAGTTGTGGCAACACGAAACAGCGCTTGGAGATGCTCATCCGTCAATGGCTGGCTCAGTGTGTGCTGGTTTCTAGTTAAATACGAAAAAGCTTTATCACAGATTTGATTGCTATCAAACAAGGATGCCACCTTATAGGCAACCCCTTTGATAATTGGGTAAGCTTCACCAGACAATCCAGCATAAAACTGTCCCAAGTCTTTGACTCTGTATTCATTCCACAGGTCAGTGTTTGCCTGAAGCTTTGTTAGCTCCACTCTCACGGAAATAGGTGCATATTCAGGTTTAAAGTTAAATGGATTTGCAAAAAGTTCCAAGTCCTTTTTAATGAACCTGAGGTCCTTAAAATGCCTCTCAAAATCTTTCTGTAGCCGAGCGATCACCATCTGATACCTGTCAGGATCAAAGATTTTCTGATCTTCCTTAAACTGCTGTTTAAGCTCATCCACCACGATGCTGAAGGCAGGAAAGTCTGTTAGATTTACTTCCTCCATATGTCTCTGAAGGGAATCCAGCTTAGCCTCAAAGGTACAAATGCGCTCAAAGGCAGCTGCAGCGAAAACTTTACTGATCTGCAACTCTTCACTGATCTCTCGAAGATAATCCATAATATCTACCAAGAAGCCGAAGTCACAAAGCCACTGTTTGTCTGTGAAATGGACTGTTGTGGCTCCTACCGAAACCAAGAATGCTTCGATTTCTTTTCGCAGTGAAAATATTAGTTTTAAAGTCTTCCCTCTTCTAAGCCAATTGTTCAGACACCGTCCATTCACCCTTTCACCATGCTCTGATTCAGACTCAGTTAGTAAAGGCTGAAACTCGGGTCGTCGAACACCTCTGGTCTTAATCATAACCACCCATTCGGATATGGTATTTATAATCTGATTAATATCGACATCGTAAGAACTCAACAGTTCCAGGTGAAGAAATCCTGAATAGTGGATCACATTCCAACAGTTGGGGCTGACAGCCTTCTCTCTCATGTAGGAAACCAGTCCGGAATTCTCACCGATCATCCTTAAAGTGTGGGTCGTGGTGAGTCCAACCATCCGCTGTAAGCTGAGCCCCGCTGTCTGCAGGGCTTCCAGAATCGCCGACATGAGGGCACCCACACTGAAGTGATGAGTCAGGTTGATGATCGTCAGAAGATCTTCCTGCACCTCCAGGTCGCGGCCTACGCCACGGATAAAAACCAGGAGGTAGTTCTCATAGGCCACAAAGGCCTGATCATCCAAAGCAAGGGAATAGGCCTTGAAGTCCCTGGCTCGGCTGAACAGCTGGCTACGCAGATTGCTGTCAATGCTCAGAATCCTCTGCCTGGTGATCTCTGGAGACAGATCGATACCTTCCAGGACGCCTACGTGGTCGGGCAGGACCTCTCTCAGCAACACCTCCATGCATTGGTGTACAAAGTCTCCCTCCCCCCAGCCGCGACCCTTCAAGGCCAAGAAGCGGCAGAGGCCGAGGCCTGCCCGCGTCGCCCTCTCCTCGGGAGTGAGCACCGCCGCCAACGACATGTCGCCCTGGCGCAGCCGCTCCACCAGGGCAGCGCGCTCCTCGTCCCCTACAAACCGTTCGTAGAATTCGTGTTCTGCCTCGTAGTGGCGCCGGACGTCGCGTTCCCGGGTCGAGGCGACCAGGCGGCGACACACCAGGCAGAGGGCCCCGTCGCCCTCCGGAGGCTCCACCACTAAGTAACGCTGGGTCCACTCGGGCCGGAACACCAGAGCCTCATCGACTTCCATCCTAATCCTCTTGGGCGTCATCCACATTCTGCGGGAGGCCACAAGATAACGCCGAGCTCCGAGGCCGCAACAAACGGGGAGGAGCCCGCCGAGCGCCAAGCACCCCCTGGGTTCTGCGCCAGATCACCCGAGCAGGGGCGCACCAGCTGCTGCCAGGGCACCTACCCTCCTATTGGCTGGAGATTTCGTATTCCCTTAGCTCTCAGAAATGAGCCAATAGGAAGAGCGGATCGTGAACTTTAAAGCGCACGCGCATTGCTTCTATCCTAGTGGGCGGCCGCAGTTTTGGGACGGGACAGAAGTCCCGGAACTGACGTAAAAGAAGTTTGATTGACATTCTTTCGGTCCAATCAGCACCCGCGACTGGAAGATGGCGCAGGACGGCGTAAGCCAGAGCTGGAGGAAGAACGTGAGCGTGAGGGGTGGAAGTGATTGGCTGACGGCGAGCGTCGCGGTAACCTGGGCTTTTCTGGCGCCGAAATGGCGTTTGTAGCGGGAGTTATCCGGCGGCTGGACGAGACGGTGGTGAACCGCATCGCGGCTGGGGAGGTTATCCAGCGGCCTGCTAATGCCATCAAAGAGATGGTTGAAAACTGGTACGGAGCGGTCTCCTAAAGGCCCCTAGGGATGGGTCGGACCGGCCGCCCCTTCCCTCGAGCCTTGGTTCCTCATGGCTTCCCCGAGACCTGTTGGGAAAGTAGAGGAAAAGAGATATGGTATTACTCTAATGGTACCTTCCCGAAGGAAGCTACTTAGCCTCACATTATATATGCAGAACGTGCAAAACTAGAGACGTGTGAATGTTTATGTTGAGGAGAAGCAAAACAATCTTCAGAGGATGCCGCGTTCTTACCACCGTTTCCGAAATCCATATACATTCAAGGGCACAGTTCCTTTTGAGTTTTATTCAGAATAAATGGTCGCAGTTTTACATCAGGCTAATGGGGACACGAGGGCTAATTTCTGATTACCCCGTTGCCAAATTTACTGAGTCCAGGTTTTTCTTAGGTCCTTCGTTTTTGGCGGCATTCTTTGATTCTGATGCTTAACGTGGTTAGAAAAGTGAGTGTTGACTGTAAAACGCAAAAATAAATATACAAATAAACCACTGTCAACAAAATTTGGAAGTGAATATCCATAATGTATATCTGAAGATTATATCAAATCCTTTGTATCAATTGATGTTAGCAAAATTCATACATTGTTACCACCACCCCCCAAATCAGTGAAGAATGCCAAGCTTGTAGAGGTTCACTGTAAAAACCATTTAGAGACATGGTGCTAAAATAACAGTGGGTTAAAAAAGACTACAGACAAAAAGGAAAAGAATTAAAAGGTATTGATTTGGTGTAGCAATAGACCCCAACAGTACCTTTTGTTTATATGGTGCTAGAATGGCCCAGTGATTTGAGCCAGTTACTGTTCTGTGCCTGAATTCTGTACAGTAAAACTTAAACATACTAGCTTAGTGGCTTATAATTCCGCAAGCAGAGATTTTTTTTTTCTTCCTGGATTCCAGTTAAGTGCTTGTTAATATTTAACTCGAGGTTTTTTAATGCAAGGGGTCCTGAGAAAGGTGTTTAAGTAACTTGTCTAGTTTTTAAAATAAATCATGTTTCAGAGAGAAGTTGATACAGGTTGAATTATTTTCTTTGGTAGGTGTTCTGTGCTCATAGGGTACTCTGAAAACACGAAAGATTTATTAGTTTCTTTTTTTTAAGCTTATTTTCTATTTTTTAAATTAATTTTGCCTATTTGTGTGTGTGTACCAACATGCTTGTGGAGGTCATAGGACAACTTTTGTGAACCAGTTCTCTTTCTACCATGTGGGTCCTAGGGACTGAACTCAGGTCCTTAGGCTTGGTGGCAGGTGGCTTTACCCACTGAACCACTTCATTAGTGCTATTAGCTTCTTAAAGTACTTTCTGCATTGCCATATTTTTTTCTTTACTTCATCATGAGGCTGTTTTCCTAAAGAAAAAGGAATAATAGAGGAAAACACTTAAAATTTTTAGGATATTTTATTGGAGTCACTTAGAAACCAGAGACTGAATAAAGTTAAAATAATAGAAAAGTAGTTGAAATGAGAATAAGAAAGATGTACTAAAAGAACTATTCTAGAGGAACAGAAATGGTTGTTCTATATAATGTATAGGCTCATACAGTACAGGCATTGAGCCTCTGTGACAAAGGAAAAGCATTAGTTAATCAAGCACTCTGTTTGGTATTCACTATTATTGCTGAGTCCCTATTAAAATACGTGCATTAGGCCAGGCATAGTGGTGCATGCCTTTAGTCCCAGCAGGGAGGCAGAGACACATGGATCTCTGTGAGTTTGAGGCTATCCTGGTCTACATATTGCTTTTCAGGCCAGCCAAGGCTACAGAGACCCAAAAGTGATAATATATTTTCTCTGATCTGCCAGTTTAGATGCAAAATCCACAAGTATTCAAGTGGTTGTTAAAGAAGGAGGCCTGAAGTTAATTCAGATCCAAGACAATGGGACTGGAATCAGGGTAAGTAAAATCTCAGGGGAGCAGGATGTTTATATGCTTCATGTGATGCCTCTGCAGGAACATGCAGAATCTTTCCTTCTCTGTTCTGGTAACTTTGGACTTTTGCAAGTGTTATTACCATTATACTAAAAATTCAACACCAACGATAAAGAGTCCCTACTGTCTATTACAGACTGTTCAAGGGGTGTGGTAGTGTATATAACAGAAAAAACCTTGTCTTCTGATGGATGCTTTCCATCCTGCTAGTAGGAGACAATAAACAAACAGGTGTAGTGGATGCTTTGTCAGATGACCTGGAATGCTCTGCAGGAAAAAAGCTAGGAAGTAGATAGGATTGAGAGAGGGAGGGATGTGATTTCTGATAATGGTAGTTTAGGAAGGCTTTGATATGGATTGGAAATTCTGAGAGAACTGATGGAGATCAAGGAGCAAGTCATAAGAAGATTGAAAGGTTGATTTTCAATAGTCTGGTCAGAGAGAATAGAGATGAAAGCCATGAAATAGAAACATGCCTGACCTTTAAGAACCAGTGAGGAGGCCAGTGTGTGTAGAATAGGGTGAGCAAGAAGAGCAGGGCTGGAGAGATGGCTTAGTGGTTAAGAGCTCTTGTAGTGGGCCCTGGTTTGGTTCCCAGCACCCACATGTCAGCTAACAACCATCTGTAACTCCAGTTCCAGGGGATCCAACACCCTCTTCTGGCCTCTGCAGGTTTTGCATGTTTGTGATGTATTAACATATGTGTAGGCAAAGCACACACACATAAAAATAAAGGAATTAAATTTTTTTTTAAGAGAATAGTAGTGGGGCATAAAGTCAAAGAAAACATACTGGACATTTTGGGTAGAATAAAAACTTTGGCTTTTATGGTAACTCTGGTGAGCTGTGACTAAGGGTGCATCATTTGGTGAGGTTTATTCAGAGACCTTTTGAAGGGGCTGGAGCAGTGGCTCAACAGTTAAGAGCACTTGATGCTCTTGCAGAGGACCTGGGTTGGGTTTCCAGTATCTACTTTGAGTGATTTACAACCGCCTATTGCTCTTGTTCCAGGGGATATGACACTCTGTCCTCCAAAGGCACTGCATACAGATGGTGCACCTACAGGCATATACACATGCATATAAATAAAAATAAGATTGAAAAAACTAGAAAACAGACTGCTGAAGGACAGGGTAGAGACAGTGAAAGGACTCTTGTAGGAACCCAGGGGGGGATAACAGTGCTTTGGACCAGTTGATTGCAGTAGAGATGCGGGGGTTTAAATGAGGAGTGTCCCCCATAGGCTCATGTATTTGAGTACTTGGCTCCAGTTGGTGGTGTTTCCTGAGGTTAGGAGAGTAGCCTTGCTGGAGAAAGCATGTAACTGTGATTGGACTTTGAGAGTTCATAGCGTTGCCCTACTTCCTGTTTACCTGCTCTGTTTCCTTTGCGTGTTTGAAGATGTCAGCGCTCAGATTTCTACTCTAGCCTCTGTGCTTACTTTCATGCCTTCCCTCCATGATGAACTCTTATCCCTGTGGAACCTTAAGCCAAAATAAACTCTTCCTTCTATAAGTTGCATAGAGTTTAGGTCACAGCAACAGAAATAGAAGATAGAGGCAGTAAGGCCCCGAGGTGCCAGGTTGTGCATAGCCATGGTTTTGCCTCTGTGTTGGGCTTATGCTAGGGAGAGGGCAGGTCTCTGTCATTTGCAGATTCTGGTCTTGGGAGAACTGATTCTCTTGAATAGACTTTCCACCTCCCCTTAGGGCTAGCTATGGTCTTGACTCTACATGTGGTCCTGGGCATCCAGGCCGTGATATTGGTCCTCTCCGATTCCCAGGCACCAAGAGGTTTTCCATTATTTTTCTGTTACTCTTCTGCAGCCCCAGTGTGCCTTCACCTGTGCCCTATGGAAAATGTAAGACACCTAATCGAACTTCTAGAGATAAAAATCACAGTCTAGGAAATTACTATCAAACTTCAGCAATACTATGAAAATTGTTACTGTTGCTGTAATGTGAGTTTGCCATTCACTGCCTTTCCAAATTCTCCAACGTATACAGAGTTTTTCAAAGTAATCGTGCTATTTTTTTTTTTTAAACATCTCATTTATTTTATGTGTGTGAGTGTATTGCCTGAATGTAAGTGAGTCCACCCATGTCATGCAATGCCGTGGAGGTCAGAAGAGGGCTTCAGATTCCCCTGGAGCTGGAGTCAAGGATGGTTCGCAGCCGCCATGTGGGTGCTGGGAATCGAGCCCGGGTCCTCTGCAAGAGCAGTCAATGCTCTTAACCGTAATCATGTTATTTTTTTAAAGAAAGCAATGTTAATAAAAAATAAAAAAAGAAGCAGTGAGATCCCTGAGTAAATTCTGAAGGCAGAGCTCTTAGAATTTACTGATGTAGCATGTGAGAGAAATAATTCCTTTATTAAAGTTCATTTATTCATTTACTAAAAGATTATGGAAGAAAGCAGGTTTGAAGGGAAGATGAGCAGTTCATTTGGGAGCACGCTGAATTTAACTTGCTTTTTAAAGGTGTTTGTGGGTGTCTGTCAGTACAATGTAGAGGTTTGCAAATTTGAAGTGTAGTCATTACAGAGATGCAAATCCAAGCTATGAGATAACACTTCATATCTGCTACAATAACTGTTAACCAAAAAAATAAAATTAAATGGATTGCTGAGAAGGTAGAGAAATTAGTTCCTTTGTGCATTGCTGGTTGGACTGTAAAATAGTGCGTCTGTTATAGAAAAATGATAGAGTTTCCTCAGAAAATTAGATTACTCTGCTTGAACAATTGTACTTCCATGTATATCAAATAAGTGAAAGCAGGGACCTAGGCAGGCATTTGTGTGCTCACATTTGTAGCATTTATGAGAAGCAAAAGCAGCTTTTGTGTCCATCAGTTGATGAGTGGAGAAACAAAATATGGTATACCTACACACAGAGAAACAGTACTCAACCTTAAACAGGAATGAATTCTGTGACCTTTCAACACAGATGAACCTGGAAAACATTGTTAAGTGAAATAAATCAGTCACAAAAAATAATACTGATGTACCATTCCTATTATATGAGGTTCCTAGAGTAGCCAGACTCATAGAGATGTAGAATGGAGATTGCCAGGGATTGGGGAGAGGAGAGAATGGAAAATTACTGTTTAATGGGTAGAGATTCAGTTTAAGAAAGATGAAGTAGGCCGGGTGTGGTGGTGCATGCCTTTGATTCCAGCACTTGGGAGGCAGAGGCAGGCGGATCTCTGTGAGTCTGAGGCCAGCCTGTTTATATGGTGAGTTCCTGGCAAGCTAGGGCTGCATAGTAGGACACTGTCAGAAAAAAAAAAGAAACAAGAAAGATGAAGTAGTTCTGGAAAGGAATGGTTCTGTATTTTTTTTAACTTGTTAAATTTCTGGAAATTCAAGTAATTTAAATATGTATTTAATAAACGGAACCATACACTTATAAGTGGTTAGGATCAAAAGGTGTTTTGTTTTTTTTTTGTTTTTTTTTGAGGTGGGATCTCATGTAGCCCAGGCTAACCTTGAATACACTGTGTCACAGAGGATGTCCTGAACTCCTGATCCTCTTGCATCTACCTTAGAAGTGCTGGAATTTCAGATGTGTGCTGTTGCACCCAGCTAAAATGAAAATTAACATGTATTTTATTACAATTTAAAGAGTTTACTATAGATTAAAACTAGATTTTTTTTTTTTTTTTAATTTACAAAGAAAGGCACGAAAGCTGGGCATGATACCACATGCCTGTAATTCCAGCACTTGAGAAAGAGGTCAAGGCAACAAGATTGAGTTTGAGGTAGCCTTGGGTATATAATGGGACCTTATCTGAAAAGAAAGGAGTGCAGATGGAGAAGAGGTCTAAGGATGGGGCCCTAGGTCACTCCAGTGTCAGGAGGAGAGGACATGGTTGCAGACAGTAAATGGCACTGAGAAGGAACAGCCTGATAAGGAAGGTGAACTCCAGGACATGTGGCATTCTGGATGCCAAGGTCAGACTAATTTAAAGAGTTCTGGGAAGAATTTATTCCCTGATTAAATCAATAAAATAGAAAAATGAGAGACTTAATTATTTACTCTATTTTTTTGATCTTGTAGAAAGAAGATCTGGATATCGTGTGTGAGAGGTTCACTACAAGTAAGCTGCAGACCTTTGAGGACTTAGCCAGTATTTCTACCTATGGCTTTCGGGGTGAGGTGAGTGAAGGTTTAAAGAAATGTATAAAATACCCTCCTGTGGTGACATTATCATTTCTTAGTGTATATTTCTCCACAGAGGTTAACAAGATTTATGTTTTGTTTTGGTTTTTTGTTTTTATTTTGTTGTGTTTTGAGACAGGGTCTCCTTGTAGCCTGGTGCTTACTATGGAGGCCAGGGTGGACTTGATCTCACAGGGCTCCATCTGCCTTTGCCTCCTGTGAGCTGGGGCTAAATTCATGCCCCACCATACCCAGTTAAGATTTATGATTTACGCTTGTTAAATATGTATAATTTTCAATTTTCATTTTTATTAAAAAAATTTTTCTTTTATGTGTTTGAGTGTTTTGCCTGCATATATTTAAGTGTACTGTGTGTGTACTGCCCGTGGAGGCCAGAAGAGGCCCTTGGATCCCCTGGAACTGGAGTTACGAATGGTTAGCTGTCATGACCCAGGTCTTCTACAAATGCAGCCAGTGCTCTTAACCACTGAGCCATCTCTTTAGCCTTTTAAATTTTTTTAAAAATTTATTTTTAATATATGTAAGTTTGAACAAATTTAGCTTTCCAAAACTGAGAATTTTTCATAAGTACTTGATACACTGTTATCTACAGGGCCATGGATTTTACATGTCTCTTGATAGAAGAACCCAACAATACCTGCGAGGTTTTATCAGAAAATCAAATATGAATTTGATCAGTACTTTTATCTACATTCAGTAGATATAGGCCAGCAAGAATGGCAAGTGGAAAACTACATGACAGGAGACTTTCAAGTAAACTGCAGAGGAATGAATGATTATAGTGGGAATAAGGCCCTATAAATTGAAAGAGATTAAGGGGCCTGAGGACTGATTTCACTTAATCTTATCTAGATGCTAATTTGAACAAATAGTGAAAGTTTTTTTTGAGGCAGATATTTGAACAGATTAGCTATTTGGTAGTTTTAAGAAGAAATTATTTGTATCCCTAGTATAAAACTAAGGTTTGAGTTCTTACACCGAAATGTATGGATAAACACCTAGGTATGTATGAAACAAAAATAGATAAAATACTTTTAAGACTAAAATGGGATCTTCTGTTTTTGTTATTTATCTTTTTTTTGATCTTTTTGAGACAGGGTCTCCCTGTAGCTGAATTCAGCTGGCCTGAAACTCGCTATTTAGACCAGGCTGGCTTCCATCTTAGAAAGATCCGACTGCCTCTGCCTCCCGAGTGCTGGGACTAAAGGCGTGCGCCACCACACCTGGCTCATTTAATTCTTTATAGATTTCTTTTCATCCAGTAAATAGAGGTCTGTATGGTTCGTATGCATATTACATGTATGTACTGTAGTTTTAAGTGGTTTCTTGTTGAACATTTAGGCTCTTTACATTCTTTCCTGTTAAGCTCTGATGAATACTTTTATACATACACTCACTGTTTTATTATTTCCTTAGGATAAATTTATACAAGTGCATTCCTAGATAAAATAAAACATTTTAAAAACTGTTAATAGGGCTTTCTTATTGTCCCCCTCCATAAACTTAGTGCTATAAAACAAAACATTTGTTATACAGTTCTAGAGGTTAGAAGACATGTCTAATGGGGTGTAAACAAGGTTTTGGTAGGACTTCATTCTTTTGGGAGACTCTAGGTAACTAGATAAACTGTTACAAGTTGTTATTTGGGAGGAGAGAGAATTAAGGTAAAGAAAGAAAAGGGGCATATTTTCATTTTAGGCCTTTTATTTTTAACAAATAATAGGGATGCTATTTTGTTTAATCTAAAAAAGGCAGCTGTTACCAATTTTGTGTAATTCAGGCAGGTGGGGTCAAACCAGGATAGCTTCAATTACTCTCTTGCTCACAGTGACCCCAAAATTGTTCCAATAGAGACAGTTTCTAGAAGGTTTACCTTGCAGCCGTCTCTACTTAGCCTGTGGGAAAGCAGCTTTATCATGGCTATGCAACTCTCTGAGTTAGTTTCCAACCCCGCCTTAGCCTGGCTGTGGGACATCTTTGGGGTGCCTGTAATTAGATAGGGAAGATATTGAGGGATATCTTTGTGCCAGCTAAGGTTCTCAGCATTTGTGTGATTAGCTCTTACTCCTTATAGCAACCCCACAGGGTACAGTCTACTGTTGCTCTGCTTCACATGATGAAACTGGCACTAAATGTTTAAGAAGCCATCAGGGCACACCAGATCCTGGCAGAGTGGAGACGTGACTCTGGGCACTCTGACCCCAGAGTCTGTGTTCCCATCTACTTGTTCTGTTGAGAAAAAGTTCTTTCTAGAGCAGCAGGGCTGTGTGCTGTGCTGTGTGTATTAACATACTTTCTTCCTGATATTATGTAATATTGCCTCCTATGAGCAGGTCTTTATACACAAGTCTCAATCATTTAGATTTTTTATTTTCTGAGGCAGGTTCTCATGTAGGCCAAGTTCGTCTTGAATTCCTTATGTAGCTGAGTTCTTGATATCCTACTTTTGCCTCATAGGTATTAGGATTACAGGTCTAAGTCATACACCCAGATCATTTACTTTGTGGGGGGTGGGGAGTGGGGGGAGGGCATGGGAAGGTTGAAACATGGTCTCCTTATAGCCCCAGCTGGCCTGGAACTTTTCATGTAGACCAGGTTGTCCAAGACCTGAGAGCTGCCTGACTCTGCCTCCCTAGTGCTGAGATTAAAGGCATGTGCCACCACTCCCAGCCTTTAAATTTGTATTTTTAAATATGTGATTCCTTTGAGGAATAGTACATAGTGCCATCTACTTGGAATGATCCCATTATTCCTTTCTAAAGGTAAATTTTTTTTAATTATTGGAAGAGGGGCTTGAGAGATAGTTCAGTGCTTAAGAGTATTTACTCAGTCAGTGCTTAAGAGTATTTACTCAGTCATGAGAATCTGGGTTCAGATCCAAGCACCCACGTCAGGTGGCTCACAAACACCTGCAACTCCAGTTCAAGGAATCCAACACCCTTTTTCTGGCCTCTGCAAGCGCCTGCACACACACATGTGTACATGTACTTACCCAGACACAGACAGACAGACAGACAGACAGACACACACACACACACACACACACACACACACAGAGTAAATCTTTAAAACAATTAACAGAAAGATACATCATTGAGAATCTATTAAACAGCAATGTAAACAGCTTTGCTATTATATGGATCTGGATGTCCCCCAAAGGCCCATATATTAAAAACTTCTTCCCCCACGTGGTATTATTGGGAAGAGACAGAGGAGAGCCTAGTGGAAGGTTTTCAGGTCATTGAGGGTGTCCCCTTTAAGGGGATATTGAAACTCCTTCTTGTTCCTTTCTGTCTTTGGGTCATCTATGGACAGAGGGCGTGACTGGCTTGGTCTCCTATGTACGCCCCACCATGATAAATTGCCTCACCCCAGGCCCAAAGGCACCAGGACCCACTGACCATGGAGTAAATCCTCTAAAACTGTGAGCCAAAAGAAATGTTTTCTCTATAAATTGATCTTCTCAGCTATTTATTTCAGTAATGGAAAACTAACACAGTAGTTCTACTATGTGAATGCAATTGCTGTTAACGTGTTTTAATATGATTCCTTTTGGGCTTTTTAATGTATATTTCTCCTTGTCCTAATGATTATGCTCTAGATGAAATTTTAGCTCTTTTTTTTAAAGTATATTTTTTATTGAATTTTTGTGCATTTCGTATAAAACATCTTAATCATCTTTCTACCTCCTCCTCCATCCACACTCTCCCGTGGCCCCCCTACCAGATTTCATGCATTCTATCATACACATTAAGGCCTATTAAGTCAAGTTAGTTTATTTCTTTTTAAAAAAATGATCAAGTTGTTACCACAAATTAATAGAGAATGAAAGTGGCGAGGTAGAACCTTTCCCTTTGATGAGGTGACAGTGGCTGACCCAGCAATGATTTTTTATTTCCTTGTTTCCCCAGGCTTTGGCCAGCATAAGCCATGTGGCTCACGTTACTATTACAACCAAAACGGCTGATGGAAAGTGCGCTTACAGGTAGGTAATGAGGAAAGTGCGCTTACAGGTAGATAATAATGACCTCTGCAGGTACTTTTTGCTTGATCTCAGAAATTCCTCCCTAAACATGAGTTTCTGTTGGTTTGGCTGAGATCTTTGTCTTCTTTCCTTCTTATAGATAACTTTGTAATATGCAGAGATGATTAGGAGGTGATGCTCTTGCTTTATGGCTTCTTAAGAAATATGTTATAACTACAGGTACTCTATAAGGTGTCTGTGACATGTATTCTAAGCAAATGGTTGCCGCTATTGTCATTTCTTCCTCTTTGGTCTTCAATAGGGTATCACTTTGGGCTGATTACAAGTCAGTGGCTGGGATGCTGATGGCTCACAGCTCATTTGCTTGCTGGCTCCTGAGCTTCTGGTTCCTGCCACTGTGCATATATCTGTGCTTGCTTGCCTTTCAGTGAGTGGCTGCTGGCTGGCAGTTATGCTGGCACAATTTCCCAAGGCTGAGGAATGGCCTTGAGACAGAACAAAAATGATACTCAGGGAATCAGTCATATCTTGGTTTTTGTAAACACTGGCTGTTTACTGTTCGAAGACCAGTAGTAGTAATTAATGCAGAAAGAAAAGAAAGAAAACAAATGTTACACATACAGACTGTTTGTAAATTAAAATGGAAAACACAGGGCAGTTCTGTCCCCAGTCTTCTCTAGTAGGCTAATTTGAGAGGGTGCTTCAGAGTATGCAGACTGATGTTAGGGGTCTTAATTCTATGTGAATCCTCTGTGGGCTGAGTGGAGTATTACAAACTCCACTCAGCTGTGAGTTAATTTTTTCCTAGGTAGCCTGAGATCCAAGTCCTGTTTCATGACCTCTAGTTTTGTGTTATGCCTTACCTGGAGCCTCTAGTGGCTCCCTCTGCAGGATGAAATTCAGAGGTATCGTCTTGGTACCCAGACCTTCCCTATGTGCCCCTAGTCCACATTCCAGCCCCTTCTCTTCACACATTATCATTTGCCATGTATTCCAAAATTCCTTGCTCCCTGGCCTATGAGAGGGGCTTTCTTGTTCTTTTCACCTGAAACTATTCCTTCCTAAAGCTGAATGAATTGCCTTCTGTTCTCTGATGCTTTCAGCTACCTGGCTGAATGGTAATTTCTTCTCCAGATCACTTAACACATGATCACATCATTCTATGCTTTATTTAAAAGACTATTCCTTTGCCAAGTCAAGAAGAGCCTTTTTTTGTTTTGTTTTGTTTTTTTTGAGACAGAATTTCCATATAGCCTAGCTGGCCAGGAACTTGCTATGTAGATCACACTGACCTTGATCTCATAGAGATCTACCTGCCTCTGCCTCCCCCTCCAGTGTGCTGGGATTAAAAACCTGGGCTACCACGCTCAACTCTTTTTTTTTTTCTTAAAGAGTTTTTTGTTTGTTTTAAAACAGTCTTGCTATGGAGCTCTGACTGATTTGATACTTGCAATGACCCTCCTTCCTGTCTCCCAAGTGCTGGGATTACAGGTGTGTACTGTTACACCTGGTTAAGACCTTTCTTTATTACCAAGACCTTTGAACGAAAATGGTTGCAGAATTATAGAAAAATTTACAGTAATCTTAGATAATTGCAAAACTATTGTTTAGTAACTTAGAACTTAGTAGCTCAGGCAAGATTTACTAGAAGGGGACTTTTTATAAAAAAAAAAAAATCGGGCTGGGTGTGGTGATGCACACCTTTAATCCCAGCACTCAGGAGGCAGAGGCAGGCAGATCTCTGTGAGTTTGAGGCCAGCCTGGTCTCCATAGTGAATCCAGGACATCTGGGACTACAGGAAGACCCTGTCTCAAAAAGACCAAAAAAAAAAAGTCAGAATGATTATGGAAGTACTGGAAAAATAAAATGGTTATTAAAACAATATATAATATAGCTGTATTTTAATCTATTACTGATATAATTTTTATTTTTAAAATGTGGAGATTCTGCCAGGTGTGGTGTCGCACACCTGTAATCCCAGCATTTGGGGAGGCAGAGGCAGGCAGATCTCTGTGAGTTCAAGGCCAGCCTGGTCTACATAGTGAGCTCCCGGACAGCTGGGGCTACAGGGAGACCCTGTCTCAAAAAGACCAAAATGAATTAATAAATAAAATGTGGATATTCTAATATATTTATTTCTAAGTAGCTCAGGCTGGCCTGGAACTTGGAAGACCTTGCAAGTCCTGGAATTACAGACATATGCCACCATGCCTGATTTATAGTTGTTTTTTTTTTAAGCCTTTGGCTAGTATCCTGTTAGGTCCTAGTAATCTTTTATGTTTTCTGAATAGAGCAAGTTACTCAGATGGAAAGCTGCAAGCCCCTCCTAAACCATGTGCAGGCAACCAGGGTACTCAGATCACGGTAAGAATGGTGTGTGGGAATGTGAATTGTTGAAATAGAGCTTACTATAAATGCTGAAGTAAAAAGTAAAATGGATAGCTGGGTGTGGTGGCGCACGCCTTTAAACCCAGCACTCAGGGAAAGGCAGAGGCAGGCGGGTCTCTGTGAGTTCAAGGCCAGCCTGGTCTACATAGTGAGTTCCAGGACAGCTGGGGCTACAGGGAGACCCTGTCTCAAAAAGACCAAAAAAAAAAAAAAAAAAAAAAAAAAAAGAAAAGAAAAAGTAAAATGGGTTCTGAGTTTTCTGTTGTAAAAATAATAAGAATTTTTTTTCTAGTAATAGAAGTCCCCAAAAAAATGATGATTGGGTTTTGTGGCATGGCAGGCCTGTCTACCCTTTTGTCTTTTGTAAGGGGCTGAGATTAGCATTGATAAAACATGGATAAAGTTGACCTCAGAGACATAGGTCGGAATCCAGCTTTGTCAATGAGTGGTTGTGTGTCCAAAGGCAAATTACTTGGTATCTCTAACTTTCAATTTTCTCATATATCCAGTGAAACGAAGAATATATGCCCATCTGCCTCAAAAGTCTTTGGTGGGTTGTATGAATATATATAAACAGTCAAGAGGAATTACGCCATCCTGCCTTATTTCTGTAGCACCTCAGTGTCTTTCCATTCTGTGATCCCATAAGCATCCCACTGTTATGTTATGCATCCTGCTTCTTTACCCCAGACCCCAGCTGGAGCATGTGTTGAAGGCAGCCCTAAGTTTTCCAAGTCCTGGGCATGGAGGCCGAAATGAACATGGATTTCACAGTGCTAAGAGGGAGCCTTAGCAGCATGCAGCATGATTATTGAGAGCTCTGAATTATCTCCAAAAAAGTTTTTAAATTTATTATTTTTAATTATGTTTATATATATATAAGTATGTGCACATGTGGGCTGATGCCCACAGAAGCCAGAGGTGTTGGATCCCCTGGAGCTGGAGTTACAGATGGTTGTGGGCCTCTTGATGTAGGTTCTAGGAATGGAACTCAGTTCCTTTGTAAGAACAATATACAATGCATTCATTGATTTTAAAAAAATACTATTTTTATTTTATGTATATGAGTATATTGCCTGCATGTATATAAGTGCACCTGTGTCATGCAGTGCCCCTGGACATCAGAAGAGGGCATTGATTCCCCTAGAAGTAGAATTACAGATGGTTGTTAGCTGCCATGTGAATACTGGGAATCGAACCCAGGGTCCTCTGCAATAGCAGCCAGTGTTCTTAACTGCTGAACCATCTCTCCAGCCCCAGAATAGTATGCATTCTTAACTGCAGAGCCATTTCTTTCCAGCCTATAGCTCCAAAAACTTATGATTGTCTTTAGTTTGAAAAATGTCTTTGAATACTGTGGAATATTGTAATTATTTGTAAATTTACCTTCACATCTTACTAAATTGTAGACTCTCCTGAGAAAGACTAGACTTTAAAATATGTCCTTATATTTTTAGTATAAAGCAAACAACCTATCATAGAGCTATCCCCGACTATTCATTTGAGAAGTCAGTGAATGTGATCAGACCTGTGCTGTTGGTAATGTCATTGGATTCACTACTTTAAGATCCAGCTTTAGGGAGACTGTGTGAAGCTTTCCATTGGTATCCATGAATTTACAAGAAAAAAATCAATCTTCTGATCAGGTGGAGGACCTCTTTTACAACATAACCACGAGGAGGAAAGCTTTAAAAAACCCAAGTGAAGAGTACGGGAAAATTTTGGAAGTTATTGGCAGGTATTGTCCAAAACTGGGATGGGTCTTTGAGCGCTGTCATTAAAGGAATGTGCCTAGAACTTGTAAATTGAGAATACTTAGAAGGCGGGTGCCGACAGCAAAGCTGGTGTGTCTGCTATTCTGGTTACAATTTGCTCATCATTCTGAGCCTTGACTCTTCTTGCCAGGAAAGAACAGTTGGTCTTTATTAGTCAACATTCTTTGGTGGCAATTACAGCAAACTGATCTTAGCTACCTTGAGCCAAAAAGAAATCTTGGAAGGTTTCTAGATGAGTGAGAAGAGGTGTGAACAGCTGTTCCTAAGTGAAGAGTAGGAATCAGAGTGTCTTCTGAGTTTAAGGTTGCGACCCTCCTATTTCATTCTTCTCCTGGCTCTGCTCTGGAGTCCTTTCCTGGACAGGGTGCTGTGATTGGCTTTACTTGGATCCCATGATTTTGTGCCCACAGCTCTGGGAGACTTCTTGGTTGGCACTCTTACGTGGTGTATCTCAGGAAGAATGGGAGAAGATAGTGTCTCAAAGGAAACTTGGCTGTAATCAGGAGAGGGGATTCAGGGCAAGTGAAAACAGCATTGTGTTCAAGATAAACTTAATGTAGTGCTACAGTGGCTGTAGCAGGGACTGTGAACCCACATCTTTGAATTATAATAAGATTTGTGCTATTTTTTCAGTATTTCTAAAAAAAAAATTGCCCATAATAAAATTGTACAAATTTATATATCAGGTCCCCCAGCACCTCCCTAACATAGAATTCTATAAATTAATATAAAAAATACTCATTGTCCCCTGGAAATAAAGGAGTTCTAGTTGACTATTTTGGTTCTAAGTATGGTAAGGTAGAAAACTGTTATTTAATAAATGTGTTTTGCTAAACACAGCCCTCAGCTCATGAGGTTGATGAATAGACCAGTGATAAAAGACAGCCTCAAAAAGGCAGTGAGATACCAGAGCAGGGCCTAGCGGCCAGATAAAAGCAGTGAGTAGAATGGTGTGGCCTTCTGGGCATCTTGTAAACAATATATGCTATAGGGTTTGGGGTAGAGGGGTGATGCTGGGATCCAGTCAGCAGCCTGTGAAACTGAGTTGTGTTTGTCTGTCACATATAGCATGTGATCTCCATGAAGTCCCCATTGTTTTATTTCCCTGTGGGTAATACATGATGTGCCAATATATTTTGTTTGTATATACCTTTGTTTCAGTTACATTTTCTTACAAATCCACCAGTTTATTTAGCTAAAAGAGCTCTTATTGTGCATTTAGCCAATAAATTGCTTAGCTTTTATTTTTTCTTTTCAAGGTATTCAATACACAACTCAGGCATCAGTTTCTCAGTTAAAAAAGTAAGTTTTTACTTTTACTTTTCATGATTTTTGGAGGATGGTTTTGTATTAGGAAAGGAAAAAAATAGGGGGCTTTTAAATGTTTTCTTCTTTCTCATGATTGTCAGACAGTAAGTCATTGTGTCTTCTGTTGTGTTTATCAGCAAGGCGAGACAGTGGCTGACATCAGAACACTACCCAATGCCACAACTGTGGACAATATTCGCTCCATCTTTGGAAATGCTGTTAGTCGGTATGCTGATAATCTACATATAAGAAAATCTTGTGCATTCCTTCCCTTCTCTCATCATCCCCTTGTATTATTTTGGAACCCGTCAAGACAACACATGCTTTATGAGTTTTAGTCAATAGGCAGGCTTGCTTTTACTCATCAGTTTATTAGTAGAGTCATTAGTCCGGGAACAGTCAGCACTCCTGGGTGTGTTTGGGTTCCTAAGTGCTGTGTGGCTGTAAATCAGCTTGTTCACGCTAGATCTTTCTTTGTCTTCAAAGTGTTTAGAATTCTGTCTTCTACTGCTTCTTGTTTTCCTTTTATTTTCACTCTCATTGGGTTAGGATTTAATTTACTTGTTAGTCAACTTCCAATAATTGTCTTTCCTATTTCTGGTAAGTTAGGGATGTGAAGATGAATGAAATATTTCCTGCTCTTAAAGACTGGGTTTGTGAATGTTAACAACCCTTCATTATCAAGGAAGGCTGCAAAGGGGAATTTGCTTATACTATGAATTCCTCTTGAGCGCCCATCTGTATGTAAAAACCACCATTTATCACAGATTCCTTGTTAGGAATTCCTTCCTTTCGCTTTCCAGAAAATATCGAGATTCTTCTTATGCCAGGCATGCTTGCAGTGTGGACATAAATGGAGTGCTGAGACCTGCCTTGAGTTTGCCCAAAGTCTTAAAAGTGTTGTCCTGTTACTGAATTTTTAGTTTGATGGACAAGCTATGCTTTTTTTGAGCCAAACCAAGGGAATTAGTTTGCTTGTAATCAACCTTTTCTTTCTAGAAAAGTGTAAATTAATTTACAAAGCTGTGCTCCTAGAGCAAAGGAAGATCTCTGTTCTACAGGGTAACTTTTGAGAACTTTTTGGAAGATTTTAAGACTCAACGAATTGTCATGAAATTCTCAGGGACTATTCGAGATTAGAACTCATGCCTGAAATACATTTTCCAAAGCATGTTTCTAAAATACTGGCCCACTGAGGTACTTTGGGAAGAAAGTGTTTGTTGGTCAGTATGTGTATGTGTAAAGTACTGTAGGCTGTGACCTCTGCCCAGAGGACACATTGCCGCAGGAGAAACATCCACTGTCCACCTGACAAACTCTAGTGATACAGTAGTAGACAGCAGGAATTGTTGCCCTCACATAGCTCTGGTTGAGGTAATTATGCCATTCGTTAGTGGGTTGTGCTGATGTCTCACAGGATAAGGAATAGGAGATTCTCTGGAGTTGAGAGAGCCAGTGAAGACTCTGAAGAACACGTAGGCTAAATTGGAATTAACTAGCTGTCAGTAGGTTAATTCTGAAAGCTTTTAGGAAGAAATAAGTGCGCCTTGTCTGAGGACTTGTTCTTTACCTGTTTCTCTCTCCTCACCAGGACATGTACTCTGGGGAACACTACACTGAAGCCCCATTTTGCTGTTGTTACCTATTATAGCAAGGATTCAGGTCAGCAGAGAGGAGTTCATGGACTTACAGCTTTGGGATTTAGTTATTTACACAAAATTTTCAGCAAAGTAAGGTTTAAGAACTTAGACTCATCTTAACCTCTAACAGAGTAGTTCCTGTCTTTGGCACTGATTTTTATTTATTTATTTATTTATTTTTTTGGTCTTTTTTGAGACAGCGTCTCTCTGTAGCCCCAGCTGGCCTGGAACTCACTATGTAGACCAGGCTGACCTTGAACTCACAGAGATCCACCTGCCTCTACCTCCCAAGTGCTGGGAGTAAAGGCATGTTCCACCACACCCAGCTGGCATTGATTATTAAACCAACATAATCACCTGGACAGATAGACTGCCTCTTCCATTTTTAAGAGTGGGCCCGAACTGGGAGGACAATGTGTATAGTTGGATGGACAGACTTACAGGACCTCAATTGATGTCCTTATTTTGGCAAGTTTAGGGGAAGAGCCCTGGTTTTTTAAAAATTTTTTTCTAATTCTGATTCTTTTATAATCTTTGAGATTTCCTGTGCTTTTGAAAGTCTCAAAATTTTTCTATTTTTAACAGAGAACTAATAGAAGTTGGGTGTGAAGATAAAACTCTTGCTTTCAAAATGAATGGCTACATATCCAATGCAAACTACTCAGTGAAGAAGTGCGTTTTCTTACTCTTCATCAATCGTAAGTGAAAAAGAACTAAAGTATATATACACAGAGACCTTATGGAGCCTTGAAAAAGGTCCTTATCCACAGGTTGGATTATACATAGGGAAACCTCATGTCAAAGTTTGGTTTGTTTAGGAAGCATCTATCAGTTTTATCCTAAGTCGATGTTCTGCCCTGTGATACATGCTTACAGTTGGCTGACTATTACAGTTTGGTTCTTACCAGATGAAGAGGGATCCTAGGAGATGGTATCTTGGGTTATGTAGACCAGCACGCCTTCCTTATTTGCTAGCATTGCCACCTTCTAAGCAGAGCTTTACTCTGCCCTTAGTTTGGGGCTGCTGTTTCACATTGCACAGCAGGACACACAGAGTGAGATACTGAGCATAGGCATTGTCCCTAAAGAAACTGAATGCTAAGACCCTTGAGATCTTTCTTTTTAAAGAGTGTAGTTATGACATAAGGACAATTCTGGAAATCAGGGAAGAAATGAAATTCACTTGAATTTTCTCAAATTCCTTTCCAGTCTTTATCTCTCTGATGACCTATTGTTGACATGATTCTTAATGAGTAAATACTATTTGACATTCTGATTTTTTGTTTGTTTGTTTGTTTGTTTTGAGACAGGGTCTCCCTGTAGCCCCAGCTGTCCTGAACTCACTGTGTAGACCAGGCTGGCCTTGAACTCACAGAAATCCGCCTGCCTCTGCCTCCCGAGTGCTGGGGTTAAAGGCGTGCACCACCACGCCCGGCTTGACATTCTGATTTTTATAGCTTAATTATATATTGCAAGGGTTTGATAGTGACAGCAACACAGTCTGAACTTAGTTTTCAGTCAGATGTAAGAAGCATCTGTCTATACAGTCAATTTCATATTCCTATCTTGAAAGTTTTAGGTGTTTCTTAAAAGTTGGAGTTCATTAAGAAGCAGTTTTAATAGAGATTTAAGTGTGGACATTGAGAGAGTGAGAGATACTTAGAAAGAGGATAGTACATGCCTAAGACATAGGTATGGGCTGCTTTTTTTTTTTTGAGACAGGGTCTTTCTATAGCCTCAGCTGGCCTGGAGCTCACTATTATAGACCAGGCTTCCTCTGCCTACCAAGTGCTGGGATTAAAGGCATGTACTACCACGCCTGGCCTAGGTGTAGCCTTTTTTTTTTTTAATTTAAATTTTATTTTTGTGTATATATGTGCGTATGTATCTGTGGGTGGGTGTATCGCAGGACATAGGAGGTCAGAGGACAACTTGTGGGAGCCAGCTCTGTCCACCGTTGTCAGGCTCAAGACTCAAACTCAGATCGTCAGGCTTGGTGGCAAGGGCTTTTGCTTGGAGAGCCGTCTTCCCACTTACAGGCTTCTTAAGAGAGTGAGTGTTACCTCTTACAGGATTTTAAGTTGCACAAAGTAATAGGTTTCATGGCATTTTCATGCATACTTTGTTTTCCGTCCTTCACCATCATTCCTTCCCCATTGCTTGAACCCTTTTACTTCCAGTATTTCCTCTTAGACCCTGGGATATTTGTCTTCCTAAGACTGGGTTACCTAACTTGATATAATTTCCAGTTCAATTCATTTTTTTTTAATTAAAAATTTCGTGATTTCAGTTTTCCTTATGACTTAATAGAATTCCATTGTGTACACACTGCATTTTCATTATCAGCTAATGAAGAGCTAGGCTTCTTCCATGTCCTTGCTATTGTGAACAGTGCAACAATAGACATAGATGTGCAAGTATATCTGTGGTGTGTTACTTGTTCTTTACCTGTATTGTTGTAAAGCATCTCTTCATAATTTTAGTTTTTAATCTTTTTTGTTTTTCTACTGGAAATTGTATATTATTCTCTTTTAGCGATAAGTGGTTAAAAAGTCTCTAATTATGCATGTTTAAACAAATTCTCTTTTTGAGGTTTTTTTTTTTTTTGTCTTTTTGAGACAGGGTCTCCCTATAGTCCCAGCTGTCCTGGAACTCACTATGTAGACCAGGCTGGCCTTGAACTCACAGAGATCCACCTGCCTCTGCCTCCCAAGTGCTGGGATTAAAGGCATGCGCCACCATACCTGGCCTTGAGATTTTTTTTTTTAATTTATGTATATGTGTGTTATATCTATGTGTGTATGTACACGTGTGTCGGGGGGTGCCCACAGTGGCCAGGAGAGTGTGTCATGTCCTCTAGAGCTGGACTATGTGTGGTTGTGAGCTGCTGGGAACTGAATTCTGGTCTTCTATAAGAACAGTAAATGTTCTTAACTGCTAAAACAGCTCTCCAGCCTCCAGTTAAACATATTTTCTAATAGTTGTTCAGAGCAATATAGGAGCAGTAAAGAGAACCAATCACTATAGACAGATTCTGTTGATATCATTTATTACAGGCTTTTTTTCTTATTAGAAGTATTAAGCCTAATAAATAACAAAGCTTGTTGCATGCAAGGCTTAGGAAATGTTATTTATTTGTTTTGTTCTGTACTTGAATAATTGCTTTAGTGGCCACTGAGATGGCTCAGCAGGTAAAGGTTCTTACCCTTTGTTACTCACTGTGAAACCCTAGTATTGGAACTCTCTTAAAATTAGCTGCTCGTTATTTCGTCTCACCGTGGAGTATACACATCTCTGTAATCATGCTGAACACTGGGTTAGAATTAGTTTATTCACCAGTGTGGTTCCTCCTAGCCCTTGACATGTGTAGGTAGTCTTGTCTTTGTTGAATGAAAAGTCTGAGAGCTGTGGAGGTCATACTTTTATCTGGGTCCAGTGACAGCAAATCTAATTTACATGGCTGCTCATGGGAAAGGGAGTGGGGAGGCAGAATTGAATGCCTACTCATCTTTTCTGCTACTTGAATAAGAGAGAAAAGTCCCAAACTTGCAGTGAGATGCTGGGAAGTGGTGACAGATAAAGGGGCCTTTGATTCCTGGCTATCTGCTAAGGCTGTCACTCCTGAGGTGTTCTTCCCAAGATGATTTCATGACCAAGTATGAATATGCACCTATGACCTCACCCTGAAGGACAATTTTGAACCTGTTATTTTCTTTTTATATTTCAGACCGTCTGGTAGAATCAACTTCCTTGAGAAAAGCCATAGAAACTGTATATGCAGCATATTTGCCCAAAAACACACACCCATTCTTGTATCTCAGGTAATGTAGCACCAAACTCCTCAGTAAGACTCAGAGGACAGAAGTTCTGTCTGGCCTCCTCTGAAGGAAATGGTCTTCTATTAGTAGCCCAGTCAGAGTGAATGCCATCTGGCAAAAGGATGCTCTGTCCCTCCTCACAGGAAAATGGCCCGGTTCTTTACTTACTAACTGTAGGTCACAGGGAGTTTTTGCTATGTTGGTGACAGCAAAGTGAACAACATGTCTCACCCTTCAGGAGGACAGGCATCTTATGAGCAGAGTACGTAATGTGCTCAGGAGACCTCCAGGGTTCTTCTGCTGGGGCCAGTTTGGGAAGCCAAAGCAGCTGCAGTTTTCCTTTCATAAAATAATATTCTGCCATGTTGGAAATTCTTTAAAAAATTCTTTAAAATTCTTATTTATTTATTATTTGTGTGTGGGGGGGTACCATATACACATGTGGAAGTCAGAAAACAACTTTGTGAAGTTGGTTCTCTCCTCCTTTTCTTGTGTGGGTTCTGGAGATGGAACTCAGGTTGGCAGGCTTTTTAACAGTGGTTACCCACTGAGCCATCTTTCCCACCCTCCTGTAGGGAGTTTTGTCTTACCCTGTCCACTGTTGATTGCCCAGTGACTTGTTTACATAATTGAGCTGTCATATTTCAGTACTCACAAGTAATTCAGCATTTGTATTATATAGATGAAACCCATAGAATTTAGAATAGAAAAGGTAGATGGTCTCCTTTTGTTGTTTCTAGCTTTTTTTGTTTGTTTGTTTGTTTGTTTGTTTGGTCTTTTTGAGACAGGATCTCCCTGTAGCTCCAGCTGTCCTGGATTCACTATGGAGACCAGGTTGGCTTCGAACTCACAGAGATCTGCCTGCATCTGCCTCCTGAGTGCTGGGATTAAAGGTGTGTGCCACCACGCCCGCCTGGCCTTTTTTGTTTTGATTTTTAATCAACATGAAGAAAGACCATTCTCTTTATAACAGGGTTACATTTATTTGTACAGAGCATGGTCATAATGAAATCCTTTAGGTTTGAAACTTTAGCCCTCTAGCAGAAACTATGTTGCAAAGTTAAATTCTCAGCTGGTCTTTATGGTACAGTTCTGTAATCCCAGCATTTGAGAGGATTGCACATTCCAGGCCAGCCTTACATTGAAAGCCCCTGTCTGAATAAAAGAAAACTAATTTCTCTTTGTTCTAGTTTTTATTGAAGTGGGAAGATGGTTAAAAATTATGGTCCAGCTGTGCATGGTTGTGCATGCCTTTAATCCCAGCACTCTGAAGGCAGAGGCAGGTGGATCTCTTGAGTTCAAGGCAAGCCTGGTCTACATAGTGAGTTCCAGGACAGCTGGGGCTACAGAGAGACCCTGTCTCAAAGAAAAGACCAAAGAAAAAAATCGTGGTTCAAAGTATTTTTTACATGAGATCAGGTGTGCTCAGGGTCATATGGTCATAGACTAAAGTTGTTTTTAGATTAATTATACTCCATCATGTTGGTGCCATTATTTATTCCCTTGCTGGGTAATAAATTGGTAATGTTATCAGCTTCTTCTGTGTTTCTCTGAGGCAGGGTCTAAAGAGCCAATAGAAGCTGTGTAACAGAACAAGGGGAATTTAACGTAAGAATTCCATATGGACTTTGAGTATCGGGGGTTTGGATGGTAGGAGATGAGTGACAGTACAAACAGGTGTAGGGCACAGACATTCTCCTAGGGCTGAGATATTAATAGAGCCTCTTGCCATTCCATTCTCCTGTACCACCCCAGGCAGAGATGCAGCCCGAATTAAAAAGAATGTGACTGGCTCACTGCATTGGGGAAAAGTGGATGAGGCACCTGAGGAGCAGCTGCAGGAATACTGCCCCTCTGGAAGGGGCCACATGCGGCTGGCTGGCTGGCTCCCAAACCTGCTATAGGAAGCCCCTTCTTCTCTTGTCCCTTTAGCTCCTTCTACTGACAGCTTCTGTGCTGGATAGCTTTAGTGTCAACTTGACACACCTGGGTTGAGGGCCTCAATTGGGGAATTGCCTCTATTGGACTGGCCTGTGGCCATGTCTGAGGGGCATCTTCTTGATGAGTGGTGTGGGAGGGCCCAGCCCACTGTGGGTGGTGCCACCCCTGGGCTGATGGACCTGTGTTATATAAAAAAGCAGGCTGAGCAGGGGCCAGGGGAGCAAGTCAGTAAGCGGCATTCCTCCATGGCCTGTCCTCTAGCTCCTGCCTCCAGGTTCCTGTCCTGAGTTCCTACCTTGGGCTCCCTGATGAACTGCGACCTGGGAGTTGTAGGCTGAATAAACCCTTTCCTCCCCAAGTTGGTATTGGTCAGAGTGTTTTGTCACAGCAATGGAGAAACAAACTAAGACAGCTTCACATCTCAGATGTCCCTTATCAGACAAGCAGTGAAAGATGGACTTGGAGCAGGGTAATAAATGGATATAACCAGCAGAGGCTCTGAGTTGACTGGAACATTCTTCTGTATCTTCTTTGTTTTCTGAAAAGTAAAAAGGAGATAGTATGATAGTTACCTTATCTTTGGAGGCAAGAAAGCATTCAGAGAAATTAAGGTGACTTGCCTAAGGTCATGTAGTAAGAAATTCCAGTAGTTCTAAAATGATGATAGCAGCCATATACACGGAAAGTGTCTTGCCTCAACCTAATTCCCACCATAAATCTGTGAGATATGTAAAGCTGTTAGGTCCACTTTATAAATGAAACTGAGGCCACGAGAAGTGATTCCGCTTACCTTGGGCTGTGCAGCTCTTCATTATCAGAAATGCATTTAAATATTCTCTCAGACTTGACCGTGATGTTTTAGGCCATTGTCTTTTGGCCACTCCAAATTGACCATCACACAGATTTTTTTTTTCTCATTTTTCATGGTAACATAATTGTTGTTTTTTTTCTTTTCTTCCAGTTTAGAAATCAGCCCCCAGAATGTGGATGTCAATGTGCACCCCACTAAGCATGAAGTTCACTTCCTGCATGAGGAAAGTATCCTGGAGCGGGTGCAACAGCATATCGAGGGCAAGCTGCTGGGCTCCAACTCCTCCAGGATGTACTTCACCCAGGTGAGGGCATCTCCCCTCGCCCTATCTCTGGGCCTTTGCTGCTTCAAAATGTACCCTATCTTATGAACACCCAGGTTTTTCATTGTAGCTTAGAACTTTCCTTATATTAATTTGATAGATTTCTTTCAGTTAGTATTTCCTTCTGAGATTTATGTATTTGTATATGTAAGGTGTGTATGTGTAGTCCAAGTACATGTGTGTGCAGTTATATGTATCCACACACTTGCATGCAGAGGCCAGAGCAGGATTTTATGTGTTCTGTTGCTACATTACCTTGAGACAATGTCTCTTGCTGAACTGGAAGTTCTGTTTGAGCTAGGATGACTGGGCAGGGAGTTCTTGGGATCTGCCTCTGTCCACTTTCCTATGGCTGGGGTCATAGGTGTGTGCAGCCATGCCTGGCTTTTCACTTGGGTGCTAGGAATTTGAACTTGGGTCCTTATGCTTAGCAAGTGTTCTTAACAGTTGAACCATTTTCCCAGCATCACGTCTGTGTTTTAATTGTCTTCTGTTGTGGGTTCTCCTCAGGCCTGCTGTGAAGACCCTGACCTGGATTGGGTCCCCTGCTGATTGGGGGGGGGCAAGAGGCGCAGAGTCAACACCCAGACACCAGGAGTAGGGTGGAAGCAAGCACTAGGCGAGGTGCTACAGGCTCATTTAACGCCAGAGGAGCAGGCCTTATATTTCCCTTTCCTCCGCCCCCAGGTCCCTTTAGTCAGCGTATCATTTTCTAATTGGTCTGCGCCAAGAGTCTCTCAGCAGTCACTGGGCTCGCGAGCAGGGTGTGGAGGCATGGGCTCCTTTTGGCAGGCTATTTGCAGACCAAGAAGTAAAATGAATTCTTGCTGAATCCCAGGGCTCTGGGTCTGCGCCATCTTTGGAGGCCTCCTGCTACAATCCTCCAAGAAAGGCTTTGCCTTTTTGAATAGAACTCTTATACAAGTTTAAGGTTTATGCATTTCTAAACAGATGAAATTAAATAATGCATATTCCTGTGCCCCAGCTTTCGCAGCCACCAACAGTTTGCTCTGTTGGACTTACCTACCTATTCCTCCCTTGCTTAGGGATGGGGTTTATATATATATATATATGTTTAATTTTTTAACTTTTTATGTTTTTATTTTCTTGAGACAGCATGTCCTACAGTCTAGGCAAGCCTTGAGTTCACTATGTAGCCAAGAAACCTTAAACTCCTGATCCTCCTGCCACCATCCCCCCAATTCTGGGATTACAGGCCTGTGCCTAGTTTATAATTATCCTTAAAACAGAGCTGTAGCAGAGGGTTATTAGAACAGTGAACATATTTTGTAAGATACATAGCATTAAATACTCATCTAAACCAACAGAATGTCAGAGTCCAAGGGTGAACTCTAATGTGAACCATGGCCTCTGGGTGAAAATGAGGTTGGTTCATCCATTGTCACATAGGCACCATTTTGCTGGGGGTGGGGGTGGGAGATCCTGGGAACTGTCCATGTGTGGGCAAGGCTGGGAGAGATATGGGAAATCTACATTCTATTCAGTTTTTGCTTTGAACCTAAAACTGCTCTTAAAAAATTAAACCGATTTTTAAAAATCGCTCAGGAGGCCGAAGCAGGAGCGATAGTGAGTTTGCAACCAACCTGGCCTATACAGTGAGACTATGTCTCAACAAACAACCCCACTATAAACCAAACAAATTAGGGGCCCAAAGGGTCATTCAAAACCAGAGGTTTTCATTTAAGGAGACCCATAGAGCAGTACCTACTGCCCAGCTAGTCATTGGCATAGCAACTTAGAAGCGCTGATGCTGGACCATAGACAAGTCCCTATTGTTCCATATCACAGTTGCACTTAAATCTATTATATCCAGAGGGCCAAACAGAAAGGACTTGGCAACCCTGAGCTATTGCAGAAACTCAGCTACACCACTGGGCGGAATTAATAGGAACAAAAACCAACCAACCAATCGGCCAGTTGCGGCTGGCTGCTATATTATGCCAAACCAGGTTCTGTGATAGAACAGAGTGTTTTTTACTAAATTTTTAAAAAAATTTTATTTATTTATTTTTATACCTACTTCCCAGATAGCACCCTCCCATAGCCTCCCTCCCCCCACTAGAGCCCTTATAATTGCCCTCCCTCGGGCCCCACTCCCCGGCCAGCTCACATACCCCACACTTGACTGCTATCAAAGATGTGGATCCTGGACACACATGTGGAGGAGAAAGTGTCTGTGGCTCATGGGTGATGTGCCCCACAGAACACCAACTCTAAAACAGTGGTTGGCAAATACCTTCATGGCAAGCCACGTGCATCCACATATGCCTGGACAGACACTATCCACTCACTGACCATAGCTATGGTCACCTCAATATGTAGCCATGGAAACAGAAACTAGAGCGGGGAACATGGGAGCCCTTCCTGGGTTTATCTGTGGGGTCTTCCATAGACTCTGTGAGAAGAGGAGCATCCATCCATCAATTCCCTGACCCCAGGGCCTGTCCACCCACCAGAGAGGCACCTTCCCTGGGAAGACACTTGCATGAGTCAAAGGACCAAGCTACAGAACCAGGAATCCACAGTTTGGGCTCCTGTTCTCACCAGCCCATGCCTGCACTGTGACGGGCACAGAACAAAGGCGTGTGGGAAAGGAGAAAAAGGAGGAATGCACATGTGGATTCTGACAGATCGTGCACCCAGGGAACACAGGCTCTATCCTGCGGAACTCAGTTCACCTCGGAACCTTTGGGACAAGGATGGCTCTGCATGGTGCCAGGTTAGAGACACAACCCTGAGTCCAGTGTCTGCTCAAAAATCACCTCCTGGGGCTGGAAAGATGGCTCAGAGGGTAAAGTGCTTATAAAGGCCTGAGTTCTAATCCACAGAATCCACTGCAATCCCAGTGCCCTGAGGCAAGATAGGGACAGGATTCCTGGAATCTCCCGAGCCAGCAACTGGACTACCCAACAACAAACAACCAAAGAAAGACTCTGCTTCAAATAAGGTGGGAGGAGAGACTGAAACATAAGTTTGTACACTGACCTCCAGAGAGAGAGAGAGAGAGAGAGAGAGAGAGTACAAGAGAGAGAGAAAACATATTTTATCTCCCAGCAGTGCCCTGATCCCCAGTCAGCAGTCAACTGTCACCAAACTTGCAGCATTACACATACCAGAGTCTGTAATCAGAATCTAGCACAATCTGTTTTAAATACATGGGGCCTACAGTACATATGAATATGCTAATCAACTAAGCTTAATAGTTCTCGTTTGTATTAATGCAAATTAGGCAGCTGCATTTCCCACCAAATATTTTCCTTGGTATTTACTGAGGAAATCAAGGTCCTTCTAATAAGTTCTAATATTTAATCTAAAAGCTCTAAAGAAGGTGCTTTAGTTGAGTATAATCTAATTTCACTGAACAAAATTGCATCTAAAAGCAATATAAAGTTACAATTTGTTCCTTGTCAAATAGTAAAAATGGCCTTTAAATTTTACATGGTTTTGACCTTTGGTTTTTGCATTTCAATTAAACTTCCCTCAGAGCCCAGAGGATCAAATGTTCCCTCAGTGTGAATTAGGTCCTGATGAGAGGTAGCTAGCCCCCTTTTCTGTTCAAACTGGTGTCTGTCTCCCTTTGACACAAAGCAGAAATTTTCTCCTTCAGTGGCTGCAGCAGATGTAAACAGAAACACTCGCCCAGGCCAATGGCTTATCTTTAGACGTTTAGAAATTTCTCTGGGTCAGTCTTCAAATTTCATTACCGGATGGGCCTGTCATCATGCCAGATATCCTGGAACTGGTTTCAGAATGGCCCAACCTCCCCTCTAGGCCATTTTTGAATACAGCTTTTTACCTGCTGACAACTTTGTAGAAAACCTAGGGAGCCAGAGTTGAGATCATCCTTTGGCTTCTGACAGAAACAGGACCTCAGGTCTCTGAGAGGCTATGATACCATTCAGTATCCATTCTCTCCTCCTCTCCTCCTTTCTTGGTAAGAGAGACCCATTTTTTGTCCAGGGAAACAACACCCCAAGCTAAATACAGCAATGAACAGTGTATTAGTGTATCTCTGTGACCAGAATTCCTGAGTTTAAGGGAGGGGTTTGTTTGATATATGGTTCTAGAAGTTTCAGCCTTTCATAACAAGGAGAGCAGGTTGGAGCAGCACCAGGCACGGCAGTGGGAACAGGAGGCAGAGGCTGTTCACATCCCAGCCAGCTGGGAAACAGAGAATGCCCTGAAATCAGAAGGCTGAAATTTTAGAGACCCACCGCTAATGACATTCTTCCCTCAGACAGCTAGACACAGCATCCAAAAGTTTCCACAGCCTCCCAATATAGCACCCCCTTCTGGGGAGACAAGGCATTAGAACTTGAGTATGATTCTGTTAATACAGCCTCTTTTTTTTGTCACGCATTTTTTAAATTTATTTTACACCTACTTCCCAGATAGCACCCTCCCATAGCCTCCCTCCCCCCACTAGAGCCCTTATACTCTGATATCCCTGCTACTATCTGCTGTGATGTATTTTGAAGCACATTTTAGACATTTATTTCTTCCTTACTACTTCATTAAAAAGTTTCTTATGCTGGGCATGGTGGTGCACACCTTTAATCCCAGGGAGGCAGAGGCTATGTTAGTTGAGGCCAGCCTGGTCTCCATAGCGAAATCAGGCCAGCTGGGTCTAGAGGGAGACCCCGTCTCAAAAAGACCAAAAAAAAAGTTTCTTATATAATCATTATATAATTATATAATCATGATATAATTTTACACTTAATAAAATTAATACTATTTATTGTCTAATCTATGTTCAAATGACTTAACTATCCAAAAAGATCTTTTTAAATACCAACTTTGTTCACATCTGTATCCAAGTTTTAATTTTAATATTTAGTGGTTACATTGCTTAAATCTTTTTTTGAGACAGGGACTCCCTGTAGCCCCAGCTGGCCTGGAGCTCCCTATGTAGACCAGATCCTCCTGGCTCTACCTCCTGAGTGCTGGGATTCAAGGTGTAC